GCCGACTTCACTGTCCACGGCGAATCCTTGGTGAGTAAAGAAAGTCGCTGGTACAACCACTTTGATAGTTCAAAGTTTGGGGTGCCACGTAATGAGACGATGGGGTGCAGGGGCACTCCCGACTTTTGGACTCTTGGCAGACCGTGAAACCGCCCCCTCTTCTTCTTCCTTACCTTTGGGAGATGATGAACGCGATAGCATATCTGAACCCCAAATCTTTCGGCATGTTCGACTATGTATTTTCAATGGCTTAAAAAATTATGCATATTCACAAATGCACATCAGAGGGGAATATATGCTGAGGAAAGAATGCTGAGAGGCTACAAATGTTTCCAAGATACTTTTGCAAATGAGAAACGGATATGCAGTTTGGATATAAAGCTTATAGTTAAACCTGGGGTTGAGTATAGTCGGCCGGAAACCGCCAGTATTGGTCGTTTTTTGCTATTCTCTCTGCTGGTCGCTGTCTTAGATTGAGATTCTGGATTCCAGGTCTCGCATCCTGACTGGTGAAAGAAACCACCATGAAAACATTTATAGTAGAGGAGTGTTTACCGTGCTGCACCCAACATCCTCAAAACGTTGGCTTCAGCATTCATGGGACGAAGGGACACCGAGATTTCTAATAACACCCCCCCTCACCCGGAGGACCATATAAGCACTGCACCTAACTGACCGTTTAATCTCCATGTCAGTGTACCTGTCTGAAGATGAATGACCGAACATAATTTTTTGCCAATACGACTTTTCAGTCTAGAAGGGTCTTTTTCAGTAATAAGCGGACATTTTTCCGTCCAGTAAACTCTCCGATCCTTTACCGATTCAAGGAAAAGACACCTTTCTTTAATCCACACATTTCTGTGATGACATAAACAGACAATCGTTATAACTGTTGTTTTTCTCCGCAGGCATGGAACCACTGGATAACAATGTCGAAGAGTCGTCAAATCAGGTGAAAGATGACGGGCAGATCCTGCTGTGGACGAAAGTGGACACGCAGAGTGCCTCAGAACTGCTTCAGGTGGCTTATCAGTCAGAAGTGAATGCCACTATTAGTCGCACGACTCTGCCACAAAATGACCCCTACTTTGATGAACTCACAGCCATTATGGTATTTTACGCCCAGAATAAGCAGTACTCGGCCGAGCAGCTTTCCTATGCCCTATCAATTCTGGCTGTTCTCTGTCAGCTTTGTACAAGTAGGCTTTTAGTCAGTCGCCAACAGATTTAAGGAAACTGCTTTGGCGACCTCCAGGAGGCCATATATCGTGTATACAGAATGATTGGTATCCACATGTCCCACGTAGAAACTTGAAACTTAATTAAAACACTTTCTATCGACCGCCAAAAAGTCTTGACATATTTACCCTGAAAGAAGGCATAGAACTACTCGACTGCCTCACGGAGAACTTCCTGTTACTTTGGAAGTTTTACAAGTACT